ATCCGTGGCAGAGCGAGAAATGTCAAGGATGGTTAAACATTCCTATTTTGATTTTTACAGGGAGGCAGTGATGTTTGCTGGTATGCCTTTGCTTGTTCATTTAAGCCAAAGACTCATGGGCAAAGTTGAATTTTTTGGGGAGGATGGGCTAGAATTTTTTTTTCGTATGTCTTTTGGTATTCTGTACGTTTTGTCTCACTTATATCGGATGACTCCAAATATTTGGGATAATGTTTCTGCGAAAAAATGCTCTATTCCGCTCAATTATCTAAGATTGCCTGCAAAATCTATTTCTTACCAGAACTTTTTGCTTACCGAATTGGGAGTAATATTGGATGATTTGTTTGCGTTTACGTGTAGAGTACCTTCAATATATCGTTTTACGGTTATTGTTGTACATGTTATATTTTTGTGCGAACTTGCGTGGCTTCCATCTGACCCTCCAGCGACAGTGAATTTGGGCCGGCAATATGAAAAGAAAAGATTGAGAAAAAAAGCTGATATTGAAAAGGGTTTAAACTCAAATTCTGAGCGCGAAATCATGAAATATTTTCAGCATCACTTGTCTCCACAAGAACGCGCTTTAGTTGAAAATTTGGATGATGAGACAATTACTTGGATTGACGTTGTAACTACCAAATATAAACAAAGGATGGATGCTACTGTAGCGGCTTACATGCGTCAAAAGCGGGGTCCTATTAGATTTGATTTGGCGTCTACTTCGGATCTTCAGGAGGTTGTTCTTTTGAGTATTACGCAAAGTTCCCCTGGTTCATCCATAAAAGTGGATGTACTTTTTCGTGTGAAGGATGAGGTGTGCAGTCGCCTTTTAGCTTTACAACGAGGCCCTTTGGGTTGTGTTCCACCTGAAGCATCTGAAAGTGAAGACCATCTTGGAATTATTCGGCGTTACGCCAAGATAACTGGAAAAGAGGGTCTTTACACCCCTTCTGAGATTTGGGGCTTAAAACTCTCAAATAAAAAAATGAAAGAAAACGATGGTGCAATAAATCTGGTCGCCTTCTTGTTTGTTTGCCTTTTGTGTGTGGCAGCGTTTTTTCATACACCATCAACAAAAGATTATCTGAGGTATTCAACGGATCTTTCTTACTTTCATCAACCGTTACGTGACAAATGGCGGGTCTTTCTTCCTTCGGAACACCTTCTTAAACGGAATGGAGCTGGCCTAATTACCATTTTTGGCCATGTTTTTTGTTTTGTAGATGTTCTAGACGTCCTCAAGCATATGTGATTTTGTTCTTAACGTGCGTTTTTCTTTTTTCTTTTCATCGGCATTTGTGAGAAGGAAAAAAAAGTGAAATTGAGCCGGGAGATAAGGTGAACAATGGTTCTTAGTTTTTGTTGTTTATGCATGTGTGGATACGCAGTGTTTAAAATAAAAAGAAAAGAAAACAAAAAAAGAGAGAGGCTTGTTTTCTCTGAGCTTTATATATATATATATTAGTTTGTATATTTCTTTTTTAAAAACCTGTTTGTTTTTACCTTTTACTCTCAATTAAAGGATGAAAAAAATAAAAAATAAAGGTGGAGTTGCATATTTTTAACTGTAGAAAAGACTATTAGATATGGCTGCTCCGGCAACACAGAGTGGAGATGCAAAAAATCCCTCCCTGAATTCGATGTGGCGGACAGTTCTTGTTTATGGTATGGTCTTTCTCATCATGTTTTCTTTTCTCAGCTCGAGAGACACGAGTAGCGTCGGGAACAAGAGCAATTTGAGGATGAGAGGACGGGATACCTCTGGGGTAACAGAGGTGCATTTGCAATACGCTCCTTTTTCCAAAAGAGGCGACTCATACTCCATTATTATCACATCTGGTGAAGACGGTTTATTTTCTGAGGATATATTCTCAGATTTGGTTCTTGATGATAATACCCAAGAAATGTCGCGACATTATACCATTGATTTAAGCCGGTGCTATGCTGAAAATCGCAGCGCATTCCTTACCATTAAAACGATTATTAAGAAAAATGAATACTCGCAATTATTTCCCTTAGTGCGTTACTTGCCTTTTCGAAGCGCAAGGCGGAAGCAACATCTGTTTCTCTATACGAAAACAGCGGAAGGTGACGCAAGCAACACCACCGATTTGGAGCCAAGGACTGTCTGGAAAGCCTACTTTCAACCGTTGTTGACTCTGAGCCCTATTGTTGACTTTTCCAACCCACTTCCCTCATCAATGAGACCTTATTACTTTATGGACAACGGAACGCAACAATACCTACCCTTAGTTTACATCAATAACTTTTGGGTGCTGCGAGATCACTTGTTGGAAATTAACGCCACAACAGCGGCTTCCCCGCTAAATTTCACCATCACGATTTCCCCACGTCCTCTATGGAAGTTAGCTCTTTATGTTCAATTTGAAGAATCCATGAAACAGAATCAGGAGTTGGGTTTGGCAAAGCCTGAGGATTTAGATGAGACCAAGCGAATATTCTTGGAAACAAATCCCTATTTTTTGGGTTTGACTCTTATTGTGACATTGCTGCATATGTTGTTTGAGTATTTGGCCTTTTCTAACGACGTAAAGTTTTGGCGGTCTCGAAAGGATTTTAAAGGTTTATCAGTTCGTACAATTGTTATGAATTGTTACTTTCAAACCATTGTGTTTCTGTACCTTGTGGACGGTGATGAAACGTCGTGGTCTATTCTAGTTCCAAATGGCGTTGGTGTTCTTATTGAGTACTGGAAACTTGCACAAACCGTGCGATTTTTCCGTCACGATAATGGGTGGTGGTGGTTTACTTTTAACGATGGTTACGATGAGCGTACGCGTAAGCATGATGACCTTGCCGTGCGTTATCTTATGTGCGCAATGTCACCTGTTCTACTCCTTTATACTGTGTATTTGGCACTCTATGATACCCACAGAAGTTGGTATTCGTTTATTATAAATACACAGGTACGATTTATTTACTTTTTTGGTTTTGCCATGCTAACACCGCAAATTTTTATTAACTACAAGATGAAAACCGTCGCGCAGCTCCCGTGGCGTACGTTTGTGTATCGCGCCCTTAACACCGTTATCGATGATCTTTTTGCATTTATTGTGAAGATGCCATGGCTGCATCGCCTTGCGTGTTTTCGTGATGATGTCGTCTTTGTCATATTGTTGTACCAACGGTGGATTTATCCGGTTGACACAGGGCGCAGCGAGGTTCCTGACAAAGACAATGACGGCGATGCCAAAAGGGTGGGGTGTGCGGCAGCGGAGGACGGCGGAAAAGAAGAGACCGAGTCTGCAAAACGGGATAAAAAGCAGGAAAAGGCTCCCAGGGAGGCCGCAGGAACAAGTCCATCGTCTCTTGAATCAAAGAAAGAAAAGTAGTCTTCCAAGGAAAATGTAGTCGTGTGAAAGCATTGCAGCACGGTGGATTCCACGACGACGATGAGCGTTAGGGAATTTATTTGGCGCTTACACAGCGCTGAGTAGCATTGAAATAAAAATTAAATAAAATGCAACAACGGGGTTATCTTGGTTTTGTCTGCTGTATATATATAAAAAAAAAGTAAAGAGAAATTGGGGGTGTGGAGGAAAAAACTGGGTTTTTTTCTTTTTCTTTTTCCATGTTTTTTTTTTTTTTTTTTTTTTGCTTAGTGGGAATGCAGTAGGAGTGGGTATGCGGGGAAGAGCGGGAGATACAAATGATGATCACGGTTTGCGTAATTGTTGTCTAACATCCTCGTTTTTGTGCCCCAAAAGTGCGCAGCACGGATATAGAAAGAAGGAAGAGCGGCAAAAACAGGGGTGCCGTCATTATCTCTGCCAATTGATGGAAGATGATCGTATTTGCATCGTAAAAAAGCGACAGAAAATACTTTCCCCATCACCTCAATACGAAATGCCGTGCACTCTATCTGATCAGTCCCCGTCAGCTGCCTCAACAAAGTATGCAGTTTTTCCTGTGCGTGGAAGAAGACCGTCGCTGATGTCGCTGGGCACAACCATAACGGCTTCGGCCCACAAAGACGACACGGTTGAAGATCTCATAGAGGCTCTTTCAACTTCTTCGTGGCCCTCCAGTGAAGAGCATGAGTGATTTCATTAAATATTGGTGATGCATGAAATGGGAGGGGTGAGGGATTATTACAATTATTATTATTATTATTATTATTATTATTATTATTATTATTATTATTATTATTATTAATTTTGGAGTTGTTATCGTTGGTCTACTAATGCGTGAAGCATTCAAAAACGGAGGGTGGGGATAGCATGAAGAATATATATATATGCACGCAGATGCTGATTGAAAACAAGAAATCCTTTGAACCACAACTGTTTGCTCACCGATCTAGTTTATGAACATGTGTGTGGAATTTTTAGCCCAGTACTCAAATGGGAAGGTCAGAAGGCCTGAACAATAGATTTGTATAGTGTGAGTCTTATTTATTTTTAATGCATGTGGATTTTCGTATTTCCTTTATCGAGAGGATGTGCATATTTGACGCGGAGAGTTTTATTCGCATGCATCAACTGAGGGATCGTTCCCTGCAGGAGTTGGAGTCAAAGCGGGCGCTTGTCACACTGCCTGGAGGGGGCAGGCGTGCGAGCAGGTCGTTTCAGCCGCATTTTAAGATTCTACTGATCTTTGAGAATCTTGTCCGCATTAAGAGCTCCGCTTTTTTTTTTTTTTTTTTTTTTTTTGTTAGGAGCTTGTGAAGAGAATGATCGCGGGAGAGCTGGCAAACTTAATTAATGTGCGTAGATACTGATAACTGAATGCTTTTATTTATGATATTTTCTGCCGTATGAATCTTTTGGGAAGAACACGACTTTAGTGGGGCAGGGAGCCGATAGAGGCCAGATAATTTTATTTTTATTTTGCCATTCCACCCACCCATCCCCTTGATTCCCACCCTCCGGCGAGGTCTTGTGGTTGGAGGACCCCAAAGTCTGCCACGTCATAAGTAATTATGTTCTGAGGACAAAAGACCATGCGAATGGTCAATATAATTTATATATCGAATCAAAGGAAAAAATGGAGGTAATGAAATATCGCTGCGAAAATCCCTTCTTCCCCCACCTTGTTTGGTTTCTTTAGATTATTTTGGGATCCGGCCGGCTGCCCGGAAGATTATTTATTTTTTGTTGTTACTGGTCTGTCATGCCTGGTTCTCTCTGGCTGACTGACAGAATGTATTCTGTCTGAAAAGGTGTCTTTACTCTTGGCTCTTCTCAATTCTTTTTTTTTTTTTTTTTACTTTTGTCTTTTCTGTGAACGTTAAAGAATCACAATTGCGGCATTCATAATGGCTTTTTGTTTTGGTTCATTCTTTTCGAAGTACGCTTCATCCAAATCAGGTTCTCAGGCAAGGTACCGTTTTCTTCATTCCTCGGCTAAAATTGCTGCCGGCGCCACCGGTGCATTGCTTTTGGGCGGTGCCACCGTGGCCTTATGTTATTTTCCCTCGGGACGAAAGGTCACGGAGGCACCGCCGTTTGATGTGAACTCACTAAGAAGGGACATTGAAGAAATACTCTCCGAGGATATGTCTAAAGGGCCTCTTTTTGTGCGACTCGCGTGGCACGAGGCTGGATCATGGGACTGCCGGAAAAAGGATGGGAGTCCTAATTCCGCTTCGATGCGATTTCACCCAGAGTGCAGCTATGCCGGCAACAAAGGGCTTGATAAAGGACGAAATGCGCTGGAATCGCTCAAGAAAAAGTACCCGAAAATTTCATACGCCGATTTATGGTCCTTCGCAGCGGTGGTGTCGATTGAGGCGATGGGTGGCCCGGAGATTCCGTGGCGGTGGGGGCGCGTGGATGCAAAGGACGGCAGCGTTTGTGGCCCCGATGGGCGTCTCCCTGACGCGTCCAGGATGCAGGATCACGTGCGGGATGTCTTTTCACGTCTTGGCTTTAATGATGAAGAAACTGTTGCCTTGATCGGGGCCCACACATGTGGTGAGTGCCATCTGGAGAACACGGGCTACGTGGGTCCGTGGACGCACGACAAGTATGGCTTTGACAACTCCTTTTTTACGGAGCTTTTTGGCAACGAGTGGATGCTGAACCCCAATGTGAAGAAAATGCAGTTCATGGACAAAACCACTAACCGCCTTATGATGCTGCCCGCTGATGTTTCCATTCTTCTGGACGACAAGTATCGTTCCATCGCGAAGAAGTACGCGGACGACAATGATTATTTTTGCAACGCCTTCAGCAAGGCTTATCAGAAGTTGCTTGAGGTTGGAACCACCGATCTCAAGTCTCTCCCAGCAGAGTCAAAATAGGCAAAGTGAAACATATAACAGCATACGCAAGGGTTGTTCATGTATAAATAGTTGATCAGGCCCGGGTTCAAAGTTGTCGTCGAATGTTATCTTCTTATTGTTTTTTATTTTATCTAGTGGCAACCGACTTTTATTATTATTATTTAGTAGCAGTAGTATTACTATTACTATTACGCGGATACCACACCTTTTTTTTGTGGGTGTGTGTGTGTGCCTGACGACCGATATTTTGCAATGCTATTGTTGAGCTTTTTTGTGTCGATTGCATTGTCGCTTCAGGAAAACGAAAATAAAATGAGCGGACGGAAAAAAAAAAGAAAACACAAAAAGCATATCCAAAAAGTAAAAAGAAGAAGGAAAAAAAAAGGAAAATTACCATTTTTTATGAAATTAATTTTTTTGGTGAAAAAGATTATTATTATTATTATTTATTTTTTTTTTTTTTTTTTTTTGGAAAACCCCACTTCTGTGGGAAATGTCTACGATATTACGGGGAAACAAATGCCAGGAGGGGACGGGTCTAATTTGTGTGGCCCTGGTGCGCCCGTTTTTTTTTTTTTTTTTTTTCTTTGCAAAGCGAAAGTTCGAACCGGGGT